GCCCCCCCCCCCCCCCATAGAGAGCTAGTGTTATGTCCCCTCCAAGCCTTTAAAAATGTTTAAAAAATAATAATGATGATGTAGATCGCACTGGTGGGTTCGTGATGGATCTCTCTTAATTGCACATCTCACTGTCCATTTTTATTTTCTATCACAATCCACACACATACACACACCCCACATTCTGTTGCAGAACGAATCAATGTGTAGCTGGTTTTATGGATCTTCAGCGAGTTCTTTCATGTTTCCCACCATTATAATCTTCCTTGATGTTGGAACGTTTATGACAGGAATTGTATGTAGCCCCCCCATGCTCTCCTTCCCTGACAGCCTCTTTCTCTGCTGCACTTAATATTTCTTCTTGGGCAATTGGTGATTTAAGTCATGCTGAACAGATCTACCAAAGTATCACCAAGGATCCGAGGATTCCCAGGAAGAAGGTTGCAGACTAGAGCTTTATGTAGGAGGTGGGACGCAAATGGATGAGGGGAGAGGCCAAATTTAGCTCCCCCCCACCCCGATACTAAGACATCAGGGTAGAAACCATTAGAGGCACTTCCTGTCGCTACCCCTCTTCCAGACGCTAAACTCAGCTATCACTAGACACACTTGGCCTGCACTCAGGCCAGCACTTAGGGGAGCAGGCAGAAGGAACCAGGAGACTGGGCTGGATGCTGTCTGGATAAAGTCAGCTACCTACCAGTGTCTACTTTAATGTAAATGCAAGAGAAAGACCACTGAAGGTTTAGAAGCAAGGAGAAGTTTTCTTGTTTCTCTAGATACCTTCACTAAGGCACTGCCAGAAAATTCAAGCTACTTCTTTTAAAAAATTATCATCGATCAAACTATTTCCATTTTGGAAATGTTGAGAAAATAAAACGTGCCTTAAAAAAAAAAAGTTGGCTACCTACCATAGGGGTTTTGAACTGGGGCTCCTAGGGCCAACTTACATTTGTTTTGCTTGGCTTCTGCAGGTATTTTAACGACTTGAATTTGAATGATGTTTTTACACAGGCTACATATATCCCTGCTGACCGCAGGCCACACCATTCCCTAATGTCTCACACCCAGCCTGCTTTACTTATTTCCATTATCTGCCAGGCTTTTGAAACCACCTGAGTCTGAGATCCCTGCCCTTGGGCTACAAAATGACATTGGTGAACACCGGTGTGTCGGTGGAGTAGAAGAGAGGCCAGATTCTACACTGAATAGCTCCTCTGCATCCATGCAAAAAATACTCCATGGGAGGGATTTTCCATCCAATGACTAGAGGAAAACAACAAGACTACTCTTACTTTTCTCACAAAATGGGGGATCGCTGCTCCAGCTGAGGTCCCACTGGCAGGTGAGGGTGTCGCTCCCCACGATGTCATAGCCGGGGTCACACTGGTAGGTGATTCTGGCTCCCCTCACGAGCTCCGTATGAGAAGTGGTTTTCCAACCATTCTGGATCTCGGGCAAATCTGAGCAGGAGTCGTTCCTTGACACCTCTTTAAAACAAAAACATCATCCTTAGATGGGGAGGTGGCCTTGTTGTTGGGGGTTCCTTTTATGAATGTCAGAGGAAAGAAAAAATAGAAGAAAAAACCCCCAGAAGTAAGCAACACAACTTCTGAAATCCCTTAACCTGCAAGAGCTCTTCTCTAGGGGGATTTTACAATGATTTCTTTTCATTTTGGATGTGGAACCTCCAGCCAAGTCATCAGAGGACTGCAGCCCCAGCTGATATCTCGACTATAACCTCATGACAGGCCCCCAAATCAGGACCGCCCAGTATTAACTCCTGAATTCCTGACTCACAGGAACTGTGAGACAGTAAACGTTTATTGCTAATTTTGCGGGGCATCATCTGTTACGTAGCAATAGGTTGCTACTATACTCAGCCTTACCCTAAGAATGCCCATAAATCTATGGGTTTGATAGATTAGGCATATACATTTTTGTAATGCAGACTAAGACAAACACGTAACTATTAAGATAGAAATAATTATTGGTTGCATTCTTCAAATCACATTGCCTACCATCAGTGAACATTAACCACACTCCAGAAAATGCTACTTATCATCACAGAATCTTATCGTCACAGAATCTTCCTCTGGAATAACTCTGTTTTCCTCCTGCAAACCTTTGTCACTGAGGTAGCAATCCAAAGCCCACCATTATCACTCTCGCTTCCAAGTGCCCATTGCACAGAGTTTGAGAAGAGGGCTAATTATGCCATGTAATTAATCTGCGGTTCTAACGTGCTTCTGGGGAAAGCAAAGCACCTCCATTGTCTGCAGGAAAGTCATTCTGAGAAACAAGCAACGGCTTTTCCCGGGATTTCATCATGATTTTGTTTGGGGGAAGGAGATCTCCTGGGTGTCTGCAAGAAGAAGGGGAGCGGGAAATGGCTTCTAGAATTGCTTGGTGGGGGACAGGAGCCTCTTATTTTTAGGCCTTTGAAAAAACAGCCAAGCCCTGGATTTGGGACACAGCTGCAAATGTTCAAACTCTGGATGAAAGAGAAGAAATGGGGGCAAATACTGGCTATGTGGTCTGCCTCGTGCCAAATGCTCCGGGACTGAGAAAGGTTTGCTTGTCTGACTTTTCAAGATGAGCCGGCACGGCTGTACATTTCCATGGGCCCTCCCGTCTCCTCCGTAGCATTCATCACACTGGTCATTCTCAGCGGCTGCCACCGTGCAGCAGAGCCTTGATTCAAACCTTGGCCCCACTGTCTACTAACTGGGTGGTTTTGGCTAAGTCACTTAACCTTCTGTTCTTCAGTTCCCAGACTCTACCCCCAGAGACCCTGATTCAGGAGTCTGCATGTTCACCAAACACCCTAGGCAGAGCTTCTGGAATTATCTGTTCCCATGAACCTTTGTTAACTTTGCTTAGAATGAGAAAACTGGCCCAGCAGTCAGAGAACTTCCCTTCTAATCTTCTTTCTTTATTTTAGAAGCTGTGTGACTGCAGTCATGTCAATAAACGTCTCTGAGCCTCACCGTCCTCAATCAGAGAATGGAGAAAAGAATCATGACCCTGCCTATCCCTAGAGGCAAGATGAAAACTAATTAATGTGCAGGATATAAGAATAACACTAAGACGAGTTATATGGATTCATTGATTTGTCTGACTAAGATGTGAGTGCCTACTATGTGCCAGGCACCAGGAATATAGAGATCTGAAGTCATGGTTCCATGCTCACAGTAAAGATAAGCACCATGGTCCAACTTCTGGGCAAAAGAAATACCTAAATGTACTGAATACATACCACCACTTCCCAGTCTTATGCTCATGGCAGACATCACTAATCAACCATAGCAATCTCTTTCTTTGAATCAAGCTGAAACCTCCCAATCCTTCTCAACACAGCATTCCAGGGAGCCACTGTCATTTGATTGGAGTTAACCTACAATATGGAACTTATTTATTATCCTGGGATTAGAGGAATAAACAAACAAGTGACCAATATCTCTTTGAAAAACACTGCTTACTTATCTCTGCTTTTTAATTCCCTTCCCTCCCATGCACTTGACCACAGACAACAGCAAAACATAAGAAGCAGTGAGAAGAATGGGTCTTTGCTTCTGTCTGTGCAAAGAAGAATTATGGGAAGTCAGAACCATGGAGGCCCAGTGTTCCTATGGAAGGTTCTGACAGCAGCCAGAGCAGATAAGCCTCGGCCACTTTCCAGAGCTGGGGTCAGTCAGGCCTTGAGATCAGTGTAGGAGCTTTAGTATTCTCTAGATGAGGGGCTTCCCTAGTGGCACAGTGGTTAAGAATCCACCTGCCAATGCAGGGGACACGGGTTTGAGCCCAGGTCCAGGAAGATCCCACGTGCCGCGGAGCAATTAAGCCTGTGAGCCATAGCTACTGAGCCTGCGCTCTAGAGCCCACAGGCCACAACTACTGAAGCCCGTGTGCCTAGAGCCCGTGCTCTGGCACAAGAGAAGCCACCACAGTGAGAAGCCCGCGCACCGCAACAAAGAGTAGCCCCCGCTTGCCGCAACTAGAGAAAGCTCGTACGCAGCAACGAAGACAAAAAAGAAAAACCAAATTCTCTAGATGACAACAGAAACCCCTAACCCTTCCATCTGATCCCTCTACTGGATGGGAGTTGCATCTGTGTCTGGTTAAATCTAGACCTAGGGTAGCAAATACCTCTCCCATGCCCATGACAGACATCACTAATCAATCACGGCATTCTTTTCCACTGACTTCAGGCATGGCCTCCCCTGAAAACAACACGGTCTTCAACCCAGGTAGTCATGGGCAATTGATTGACATCAACATGGACATAAAGGCCCACTTTCCTTTTCTGTGAAATTAATCTGTGTTTCTTTAAGAGAAATAAGAAAAAAGTTGAGCTGTTCTCTCTTTTTGTGTTACCCATATTAGCTAGGCTGTGTACCCCTGGAAAGCACTCTCTGAAATCCTGTGCTCATCAGCATATGATCCTGATATTGTCTGTTAATGGGACTCTTCCATTTTCACTAACTGGCTCAAGGGCAGGGAGAGAATTCTATTCATTCCTGTATCCTGATGCCTAGGACAGGGCCTAGCATGAAAGTTTGTGAACCAAACTCTCTGGAAAATGGAGATAATGCGTTTGAAGATGAAATAAAATAATATATGTAAGAGTGCTTGCCAACCGCAAATTGTCACACGAATCTAAGTTTCGGCTTCAATTAACAAGAGCACCTCCTCTTCAAAATATTGCCAAACTGAACAATGGCCAGGCTTTCTGGTCAACCTTGGGCAGCCTTGGATAGAGTCATATTTCTTCCATCAAGCTGAATGCAGTTTTGCAAGACTGACTCGGGCACCAGGGGAGACAAATGAGCAAAACTATGACCTCATCTTCCAGTAGGGAGGGAGGCGGGGAGGAAAGGTCTAAGGAGACAGACTGAAGCCTTGAAGTCGCCAGAAACTTTCCCTCCAAAGGCAGCTGACTCTGGAGGGCACGTCGCCTGGACAGCCTCTGCCCAGGGCATCACCCAGTAAAGAACGCATGGAAAGTGGCAGCAGTAACACTCTGAAAATACCCAGCGTCGCAATCAAGGGTAAAAAGGCCCGAGTAACATAAGAAAGAGATCAATACTTGTGATTGCTTCTCTGAGAGGTACCTGCAGAGCAGAGCGGGGAAGGGAAGTGCCCACCAGCTGGAAATAAAGAAAGCAAGGGACTTCTTTTCATATGCATGAGGCTCCTTGAGACGGCCAATGGTCAGGGAACTAGCTTGTATTCTGGAGGCAGCAGGAGATACAAAGAGAACACTTTGTATTAGCTAGACATGGGCAAATCTTCAAGCCAAGGGGAAGAACCAAAGACACGGAATCATGCTCAAGCCAGAGGGTCTTTGGTGGTGGCAGAGAGACTTGGCAGGATCAGTCCTCCTTTTTCCCGGTTCCATCTTGGAAATCAAGATGTCAACCTCTTCCCTGGGGGGGTGCAAGCAAGTCCCCTAACTGCTGGCTGAATCCTGCCCATCGAAATCCTCAGGAGGCAAGCGCCCACCATCCTGGATGCCAAAAGAAGTTAGGTCTTCTCTACCTCTTTGCGTCTCCCAGGTTCTCTACTATTGCCAAAAATATTGGGGGTAGAGAAACCCTAAGAGCTGGGAGCCAGGAAGCCTGGGTGTGAGCCTCAGGTCCACCCCTGATGATCAAGTCCCTCATCCTTGGTGGTCCAGGGCTTCTTGTGCTGTGACGAGACAGGGCTGGACCAGACACTCTGTCAGTTCAAGTCCCTTCCAGGGCTGGGATCAGTGGGACTTCACAGTGCTGCTGGCGAGGATAGCAGCTTGGACTAGGGTGGTGGACGTGGATAGATGGACAAGAGTACTTGGATCTGAGACACACTGTGGCAGTAGAGTTGAGAGGATGGACTGGATACAGGGGAAGCAGACTGAGAAACCAGGAGAGTTGTGGTTCCGCCTCCTGGGCTGGGCAGACAGCAGGAGCAGTGAGAGGTGGTGAGGGCAGGGAGGCAAAGAGGTCGCTCTGTTCTGTCCGTGCTAAACCTGAGCTGCCAGTGAGACATGCAAGAGCGCGGTGAGCAGGGAGCTGGAGAGATCTGGAGTTCACGGGAGAGGTCAAGGCTGTAGGTACAAACTAGGGGTCAATGGAATAGAGATAAGCATTGTTTAAAACCATGGGCCTGGATGACAGCACACAGATAGAAGGCAGGACAGGGTCCAGGATGGGACCCTCCAAGGTTTAGAGCTTGAGCAGAGGAGGGAGATGGAGCCAGGAATGAATAAGGGGGAGTTTCAGGGTGAGTGGTGAGGAGGGAAGGGTGTGGGTGGATGAAATAATTAAGAAGGGGGTACTGGAGGCTCACGTGTGAACTTAGTTTGAACTTTATGGCAGGATGTTTTTAAAAGATGATGGGAAGAGAAAAGGTTTGGAAGACACACTGAGCAGCAAGAAAGAATCTAAAGTACGGGAGAAGAGTATGGAGGGTTCCTTAAAAAACTAAAAATAGAGCCATCATATGATCCAGTAATACCACTCCTGGGCATATATCTGGGGAAAACCATAACTCGAAAAGATACGTGCACCCCAGCGCCAACAGCAGCACTATTTACAACAGCCAAGATGTGGAAGCAACCTAAGTGTCCATCAGGAGAGGAATGGATAAAAAGATGTGGTACCTATATATAACGGAATATTACTCAGCCATAAAAAAGAACGAAATAATGCCATTTGCAGCAACGTGGATGGACCTAGAGACTGTCGTATGGAATGAAGTAAGTCAGACACAGAAAGACATTACCACATGATGTTGCGTATATGTGGAATCTAAAAAAAAGGGTACAAATGAACTTATCTACAAAACAGAAACAGAGTTACAGATGTAGAAAACAAACTTATGGTTACCAGAGGGGAAGGGAGGAAGGGATAAATTGGAGATTGGGATTCACATATACACACTACCATATATAAAACTGATAACTAATAAAGACCTACTATATAGCACAGGTAATTCTACTCGGTACTCTGTAATGGCCCGTATGGGAAAGGGATCTAAAAAAGAGTGGATATATGTATATGTGTAACTAATTCACTTTGCCGTACACCTGAAACTAATATAACATTGTAAATCAACTATACTCCAATAAAAATTTAAAAAAATAAAGTATGGGAGGTAGGAGAGAAAGGGCTGTCTTGGTTGGATGGGGCTGCAGAAGAAGAGTCCTCGGGGAGAGCCAAGCTTCAGTTCAGGCAAGATGGCATAGGTAATGCTTTGAGAAGTTGCAAACATGGAAGAGTGTGCTGACGATATAAAGTCACAGCTGACTGCAAATGGAAAATGATGAATCTTAAAGTTATGAGACATTATCTGCTAAGTCCTGATATCAACCCTGTGGAGGAGGTATCACTATTCCCATTTTACAGATGCCAAAAAAGAGGCTCAGAGAGGTTAAGTGACTTGCCCAACGTCACACACTCATCAATGATAATCCTAAGACTTGAACCCTTGTCCTTCCGACTAGAGAGACCAACCTCTTAAAAAAAATGACGTATATTTACCATGTCAATATATTAAAAAACTCACGTAGCACAACCCTCCCCAAAAGACATATCTAGAAGAAACTGTCTTAACTTGCACCTAAACCCAAGGAGAAAAAGTGACTGGCTAGAGTACTTACCTATGTAGTTCATGATGAATCCCTGGCCCTTCCCAAAGATGAGCCCGGCAGGGTCTGAGTGGAACTGGATGGTTAGGTCCGGCGTGGACGAGTACAGCTTCTGGGGTCCGCTGTTTCCAAGGTACTGTCCCAAGATGTGGGGCATGACCTCATCACCGTCGTAGATGGTCAGGATGTCGCTGTTGCTTAGGTTCAGGCTTGGGGGGCAGAGAGAAGAGGAGGGGTCTTGTGAAGCCAAGTTAACAGGCATTCAACAAGCCTTTGATTTCTTTTTTCAAGCAACACTCATTTTCTTGAGATATACTATGTGTCAGATCCCAAGCTAGGAACTGGGGGTGAGGAAGGAATTGACTGAACCTGTGAACAGGATGTGCTGATCCTTCCTAAAAGCATCGCACACAGATCTGTGGATGGATTGGGCTTTTGAAGACTCATTCATGAAATGACCTTCCCAGCATGGAGCTCACTGCAGAGTCAAGTGCTGCATTGTCTGTAGAATTGCCTTCAATACCCCTGTCATTAACAACTCTTTTTCCTGGGTGAAACTAAGTGCTGGGCATTGAGCCACCTGCTGGGGGCATGACATGGGTCTTCCATTTTTCTGTGACGCAGAGCAAGCTGACTGCTTGCTAATGATAACTTGCATTCTTATATAAGGTGAAATGATCCTTCCACTTATCATTGGCAAATTCCTCAAAATCAACCAGCTAATCTATTATGTTTAGGGGACGGAACAGAGAATGGGATGGAGGCACCTTATTCATGAAATATGCTCCAACCTGCCATCACTATTCATAGCATCACAGGATGACACATTTTTAAAGACCCAAACACTATAGAGTACCTTGACACTAAATATTTGGACAGCGACGGACAGTTAATAATCCAGAAAGCACTTCAGTACGGCAAAGAAACCTGTGCTATGTTAGGTGTGCTGGGTAAAATTGATCTGTGACTGTAGGAACGCCAGACAGTTCAACTTCGGCTGCATCAATCACGGACAGATGTTAACTTACGCCTCTTTCCTTCCTTTCTCCTTCTCCGCTTCTCTCTTTCTTCCCTTTTTCTCTTATGCCTTTCTCCTTTACTTGTATCCCCTCCCTAATATTTCCAAGCACCTACTATGTGCCAGGCACCATGCTGTGCTCAGAGGACACGAGGAGTCACAGAGCAGTGGTCTGTTTAGACGAGAAAGCCATGAATTGTGGTAGGAGTTACAGTCAAGGTAGGTGCAGAGAAGTGTGTCTAACTCAGATGGGGGGCATCAGAGAGGCCTCCCTGGAGGAAGTGATCCTCAAGAAAGAGAAGGGGACCACTAGGAAGATAAACAGGAGGTGGGGGGAGAGGGCAGTGCCTGAGGCAGAGGAAAGAAGGAAGAGGGGTCACAACTCCTGAAGGAACTTGCCTGGTGGTCAGTGTGCCCGGCTTTGGGTATAGACATGGAAGCAGGAGTCAGACCATGAAGGGTTTAGAGAGACAAGTTTAGGTCACTTGGATGCCATCTTGCTGGGGATGGGAGACAGTAAAGGATTTTAAACGCGAGCATCCTGACTGAGCAATTCACTGCCAGAGGAGAGGCGTTCCAGGAAATGGCCTCCAGCGAAGTTCTTGGAACTGATGCAGAACCACAACCTCCTCCCCCCCGCCCCCCCACCCGCCGCCGCTTCATCCACTGCCCAAGATCGGTGTTTGCTGCCACTCCAGGAGCAGGGAGGAGATGTGGAAACCACCCATGTTGTTGGTGCTTCAAGTAGTAAGAACAAAGCAACAGAAACACAAGGCATACTGCTGAAGGTCTCTTTCCAGAGGGCAGGGGACATATTTTATCTACCATAATTCCTCATGTCAAGTTGTCCCAACAGGTGGCTTAGGGAGATTCTAGCTGTCCCCATAACCTCCATCAGCTTCCCCGGCACCACCCGCAAACATCCTCTCCTAACAAAAGCTGTGCGCTTGCTTTGCACACAGGGCTTCCAGACTAAGCTCTGAGACTCCACCTACTCCCCGTCAGTTTACAACCAGGCGACAGCCTCTAAACCCCTATTACATTGACATTCTGGAGTCGCCACCTTCTCTTGCACACAGTAGGTGCTCAATAAATGCTATGCTATGAAACAGTCTGCTGGAGACCCTATTTGACAACAGAAATAGTATTTTGATGTCAGCTTTTGAACTATGGAAGAGGCTCTTAACTCGAAGTACCAGGAAAACATCAATAGCTCATGAAAGTGCTGGATTAGGCTAGTGTGAAACGTGGTAGATGGCAGATATTTATTCCATAAGCCAACTTCAGAGCCGATCTGCTGGTAACAGTGGGTTGCAGACAGTGCACAACTTGGCCTTATTCTGTCATTCATTTCAATGACCTCAATGCAGTAGAAGCATCTTCAAGGGTGCAAACAGCTTTCATGTGGAAACCCCAGCACAACTCTCTGTTCTTTCTAAAACAGGAAGGAGCAGTGCTCTGGAAGAGCACACAGCCTTGGAAATCAGAAAGCTCTGGTTTCATTCTTGGTTCGACACTTTCATGGAGGGCATGTGTTTTCTCTGAAGTTCCTTGTCTGTGAACAGGGCTTAATGTTTCCAGTCTATGTCACGGGCTTTCAGAGTGAGGTAAGGCAGGCAGAAGATCTAGGATCAGACTCTAGGTTCACTGGTAGCACCTGAACAAGTCTGGTCAAGTCATTTGAATGTTATGTCATGTTGTAATGTTACTATGTGCATCATCACCATCATCACCACCACCACCATCATCATCACTATCACGGTCACCACCACCATCACCATCACCGTCATTCTCTTTTCGGATTGCCATTTATACCAGATGTCATCAGATGGCTTATGTCTGTGATTCTCAGCTAGAGGTGGTTTTGCCCCTTGGAGACAGCTGGCAATGTCTAGAGACATGGTTGTCCCAGTGGGGGCGGGGGAGGCATGCCACTGGTGAGTCCATGTCAGGGAGACTGTTAAACATCCTACAGTGCACAAGATAGCCTTCTCCCAAATAAAGAATTTGGACCACAATTATCTGGTCCAAAATGTCAACAGTGCTAAGGCTGAGAAACCCTTATTTATGTGAATGCATTTTGTAAACTGTGTGCAACAAACTATTAAATGCAACTTCTCCTGTCATCCTGGAATTTCAAAGTCCCCTAAGCTAAGAATAAGCCAACAGGGACTAAGCATTCCTACTTTCTAAAGGGATAGACGTGGCCGTTGTTTAAGACTGGGTTTTCGGGACTTCCCTGGTGGCACAGTGGTTAAGAATCCACTCGCCAATGCAAGGGACACGGGTTCGAGCCCTGGTCCGGGAAGATCCCACATGCCGCGGAGCAACTAAGCCCGTGCGCCACAACTACTGAGCCTGCGCTCTAGAGCCCACGTGCCACAACTACTGAAGCCCGTGCGCCTAAAGCCCATGCTCCACAACAAGAGAAGCCACTGCAATGAGAAGCCCGTGCACCGCAAGAAGAGTAGCCCCCGCTCGCCTCAACTAGAGAAAGCCCGCGCACAGGAATGAAGACCCAATGTAGCCAGAAATAAATAAATAAATATATTAAAAAATAAAAAAAAAAAAAAAGATTGCGTTTTCCAGAAGCTGAGCCTGAGCAAAGATGTGAGTGTCTCTTGGAGTCTGGCTTATCTGGGAGGCCACCCCAGGCAGCACCAGTGGGGAAGTGACACAGAAGGAAGGGAATGAGCCAGGGCACGGTGCATAGATGGGCAAGTTCCACTGTGGGCAGTGGGCTCAGTCCTGCAGGAACTGTGAGAGATGGTGCAGAACATACCTTGGGGGAGAGGGAGCTGGGGTATTTATCTTCCAGCTCCCATCCCTCACTGGCTGAGGACTGCTACTAGGGGTACTAAATCTCCAGCACTTCTGACTTGCCCACGTGGTACCAGAGAAAGCCTTCAGGCAAAGAGGGTTGCAGCAGAAAGCCGTCATGAGTACACAGCGGCAAGGGCTACAGGGCTTGGGTAAGGAACCAATGGCATCTGCTACCAGCATCTATGCAGCTGTTTCAGTCTGAGCCCTTCACCCACTTCTAGCTTAATGAAGGCAAGGAATTCACTGGGCGATCAAAGAGACTTGCAGGAAAGGCTGCCTTAAGGGGCAGGTCACTGTGGGAGGGGAACCAAGGGGAGGGGAGAAGGTATATCACCCTCATCTGGTGAAGAGGGCTTCGAAGAAACTTTTGGTGGCTTGACAGTGACTGCATTTGATGTTCACCAAGGAAAGAGGAATGAGAAAAATTAGCCTGGAGCTGCCCGCCTACCTGGGGGCAGAGCAAAGGGAGAAAGGGGGGTGCTGGCAGTGAGCTACCCATCACTGATGAGAATGGGGATGTTCCCTAGGTCTAGATGTGAACCCTAATGAAGGCAGCCACTGTGCATCTCCTTAAAAATGGTCCCACTCTGAAAGGGCGATGGAATCCAGCAGAGGCGAAGGTCAAGTGCATCCAGGCTCTGCCCGTATCAAGCACGCCCCGTAAGAGAGAGTAAAAAAAAAAAAAAAAAAATCAGCATTCTACATCTTCCATAATATAACAGTGCAATGACATTAGACTGTCGCGTGAGAAAGCAGCAGCACACAAGGCCCTCTCTCATTGCAGAATTCCCAGCCCAAGAAGCCCTGCTGAGGGAGGGGCGAGCTTTTGAAAATGAATAATGTTTAGAGCTGTATGATTATCAGACTGAACTACACTTCTCAGGACCAGAAGACCCATGAAAACAAAGCTTTCAGCCTGAGAAGCAAAAAAAAAAATGGAGAAGGTACGGGAAGGGCAGTGGGAGAAAGAATGAAGTTACTCTCTCCTGTATCCTTGTGGATCCATCTTTTTGAGAGGCTGGTTCCCATGATATGTACAAATGCTGAAACTTCATTTTCTGCCCCGATCCAAAGACGAGCCTGCGTTTTTGCTGGCCCACGCAGCTGTGTTTGATATAGTGAGTACATCCAGGGTCCCTGCCGCTGGGCCATCCTCAGCAGCTGAGAGGAAAATGCGGAGACTTATTAAGGCAGAGAGACTGGCCAAAGGGCAGAGCAGGGTTTTCTGCCGAGGACGGAAGAGAGATGTCAGCCAGATACAATCTGAGGAGGCGCCAAGAAATCAGCGTCAGTTTTACTCCAGAACTAATGGGAAATGGAGTGGTTGCGGCAGGCAGGTGGGTTTGATCTGACCGGAATTGGGTGGAG